TATTAAGACTTTGAATTGTCGTTAAAACATTGGAAGTTTCCCTTTGAATATTTCTTAAATTTTATAAATATCTTTGAATATTTCGAAAGTCCCATCAAAATGGTAACAAAATTTATTTAATTTAAATTTATAAACTTTAAATAAATTTGATTTATTCAAAAATAAAATTTTAAATAATTTACAATTTGATTATTATATTATTAATTATTTTAATTTTATTATATGTATAATTCAAAATTTTAATCTTAATTTTAACTCAAATTTTTACAAATAATAGTTATTATAAATATACTTGTTAATTCTAATTCTAATTCTAATTAACCAATTAAAATGTGATTGTTGCAAATAACAATTGTTGCAAATATATTTATTATTTTTCATATCAAAATTTTTATAATATTTAGATGATGTTCAAACCAAACTTGGCTTTTTTGACCAATCAAATATTATAATATCACAACCACAGTGATGCAAACATTTATTTATCACATGCTTACATAGAGAAAAGTAATCCATTGGTCAGAAACTTTTACTTATCACATAATCCGATCAATAAAATTAAAAGAGAATTCTACTGGCCCATATGATTAAATAATTAAATTTCTATTTCTACATTATTTAGTCAAATTGTCTATTAAATGTCTAGAAATAATGACACGTTGAATTTGCGATGTTCCTTCGTAAATTTGGAATATTTTCGAGTCGCGGTATAGTTTCTCAACGGGATATTCTTTTTTAATTGTTTGCAAAATAATATTAATCATTTATTTTGTTAACGACGAAATTTAATAATAAAATAAATAAACGTCTTACCCGTATTAAATCCATTTCCACCAAAAACTTGAACTGCCATACTTGCATTGTTGACTGCAACATCAGATGCAAGCTAATAAAACTCAATCTAGTTAATATCTTTGAACTATTAAAAAAATAACATCTTGAAAAAACATAAAATTTCACATACCGCTTTGGCTATAGAAGCGTAATACGTGTTTCTTTCGTTTTGATCGCGAAGCCAACAAGCCTAGTATTATTGATCCCGAAAAAAACAAAAATTACTGAATCACAATAAATAAAAATACAAATTCGATGCAATTCTAATTAAAAGCTCAAATAATATAATTACCTTCCAAACCACATTTCGCGCTGCTTCTAAGCCAATGGCACCATCAGCCAACATAAATGCCACGGCTTGGTGTTGAGATCTTCATGAGACAATGAATCAAATATTAAAAACAAATATGAAAATGAAATCTCTGATATACAATAATGAGTTTTGCTAATACATTAATTTGCCCATTGTTTTTCGTTCTAATGAATAATTTGTTGCCTCCTCTAAAGCACGACGAGCCAGACCAACCGCGCCGGCGGCTACGAGTGGACGAGTAATGTCAAAGGCTCCCATTGCAATTTGAAAACCTTTACCAGGAGAACCAAGTCTTTAAAGAACATAAATATGGATTATATTTAGAAATTTTCATTATTTCGTATTAAGAATCAAGATTTTGATAATGGAGACAATATTTTCTCCTATCAGAAAGAAAGTTCGACTTACACATTTTCCTCTGGTACAACAACATTCTCGAATGAAATTCCTCGCGTATCACTAGCTCGTTGTCCAAGGTTAATTTCTTTTCTACCGGGAGTAACTCCAGGTGTATCGGCATCTACAATAAATCCGGTGAATGCAGAACCAGGCTTTGCTGTTGGATCTGTTTTGGCTAACACGAAATACCAATTTGCCTTTCCACCATTAGTAATCCACATTTTTTGTCCATTAATTATCCATTTATCACCCTGTTTCTCGGCTTTAGTTTGGATTCCTGCAACGTCAGAGCCAGCACCTGGTTCCGTGACGCAGTATGCCGCCATTAAAGGTTCTTCAGTCATTCGACCAAGATATTTTTTATTTTGTGTTTGATTTCCCGCTACAACAAGCGGTGCTTCAGCCAGTTGGTTCGCTTCAATGGCTGTTTGTATACCGGTACAGCCCCATGCCAACTCTTCAGTTATCAAATTCGAGTCAAAGACACCTAAACCTAGCCCACCAAACTCTTGAGGAATGTGTGTATTAACAAGCCCAAGCTCCCAAGCCTTTTTTATTATCTCTACTGGATATTCGCCTGTTTGGTCATGGTGGGCTGCTTTTGGGATAATTTCTTCTTTTGTAAAGTTATGAGCCAGCTCTTGAATATTACGTTGCTCTTCTGTTAAAGCGAAACCTGGGCCTCTAGATGATGTAGCTGTTGTCATGCAACGGATGGGCAAAAAAGATAATTTGCCATGACAGCGAGAAACTTTTAAAATATTTCGCAACATTATATTTTTTAGTATTGCAAGTTTCTCGAGATAGTTAGGTCATCGTCTATTTTTTTTTTTCATTCATTCAGATGTTGCATTGTGTAATCGACACGAAATTTAGCGTAAATACAATTAACAAACATTTTGTACGACTCGACGCATAATGGTTGGTCGTCCACAATGTAATAAAATACCAAGATCAAGAATTCTAAAAGTCATAAGCAGCGTCGACAGATGAAGGATAACACCACTCAGAGATTCTTTCAACTTTCCATATTTTGAGGGAATTATCAGATTTTGGTTTTTTGTTCTCATTATCATTTTCATTTCCAGATGATATAATTAAATCGTGAGATTGTAGTGACGTTTCTTTTCCTTCTTGAAAATCATTGCCATTATAATCCAAAACATCTGTATTGAATTTTCGTTGTCCAGAGCAGGAAACAATTAGCGGCAATGTAGGGTGGAACATTGTCGCTGAAGTCGTGTCTATTTTCATAAATTCATCTTATATTAATTATATTATATTTTTATGCGTAAAGTAATAATTGCTTTTATTTATTGGCTATGCATTTACCGTTATGTGCTGAAAATTCTACAATCGATCGTGAAATATCTTCTTTATTTTCAGTAGGATTAGATATATTGTAAACCAATATTTTACCATTCTAAGACATTTTAAGTTCGCATAATTAATGCAAAGTTTCAGACTTTTTTTCAATAAAAATCATTCAAGGTTAAACTTCAATCTAACCTGATCACCAGTAATCAAATATCTTCCAGAAGAATCAATATCAAATGCCAATCGTTGATTAGTATCACCAACTCGGTCAAGCTTAAAAAGCACATCTCCAGTATTTCTAATATCCCAACAGTGAATGAAATTGTCTCGTCGAGATGCTGAAAATAGGTAATAACCATCCGGTGAAAATTTAATCTATTTCATATGTGTTTTTTTATTTAATATTATTAGAGTATTCGGAATCATGAATTATTTACAAATGAAGCACCTGTGTAACGCCGCTATATAGATTTCTTAAAAGGTACAATAATTCGTTATTTTTTTCATCGTAGAGTCCAATAGTTTTTGAATACGACCCTGCGGCATATAATCCGGAATTGTCGGGATTAAAAGCTATACAAGAAATCACACCTATTTTAAGGTTTCATGTAAATAAATTTGTTTATTCGGATCTTTTCGAATGGTTTAACTCAATATCAACCTTACCCTTTTGACCCTCCTTGCTCTTCCGCGTTGGCGTAGTGGGATGTTTCTCTCCTTCTCGCCCTGGACGACCACTATCGAATATCTCAATCATATTGTTATAACCACAATAAATCCTAAACGTGAAATAAATTTGTAAAGCCGCAATAATTTTTTTAAACTACAAATTCACCTAATCCCTTTCTTACCTTGAACCGTCTAAATTAAATGCTAATGAATTTGGACCGATAAGTTGTTCACGATGATCAACCATTGTATATGAGGCTCGTATCTATTTTAAAAAAAATTAATGTCCGAAATTGACAACACACATCTTAGAAGCTATCGAAAAAAAATTTAAATTCTATACACTTAGAAATTACCTTTCCAGAAAAGGCATCCCATAAGTGAACAGGATGATCTCTACTTGAAGAGAGAAAACAACACGTTTCGGGTTCTGTTATTTTATACTTTTGTCATTTGTATACATTCGAATTAATGAGTCTTTGATCAGGAGATGCTTAACAAATATTAACCTTGACTAGACATCATCGGATACCAACAGCAATCGTAAATTGTCTCCCCGACTCGAGCCTGGATTACAGGATTTAATGTAATTTCTGAGACAATTAAGTAAATAAGCCAAAGAAAAAGGTCTATTTGTTGAATTAATAACAGAAATATTATCAAGGAATGAATAATTACCTTCTATCGATTCAAATACATTCAAAGGTCTGATTAAAGCGAATCCGGTTATTAAAAGAACAAACAGTATTTAAACAACATTATTTTATTAAAAAACACTGATACATACAATTCAAATAATCGTAGTATATTGTCATTGGAAGAAGTTAATATACATGTTCCATCGGGTGACCTATATATAATTAATAGTAAATATGCCAAATATACGAAAAGGTTCACAGCGAATTTCTTTAATATAATTACTGACCATTTAGCCACCTTAAAGAAATTATCCTCCCAGCCATTTGTTTGATTCCATTCATCCTTCAATGTCTCTGGAAATAATTTTTTAATAGTATCCTGAACTGTTTCACAGTACATTTCTTTAGTCGAGCAGACAAGTTCTAAAGGTTTTGAGAAATCAAAGGAATATACAGGATATGAATTATTTTCGTAATAAGTGTCTTCATTATCTACATTTTGTGAGTCTGTGGTAGTATCTTCGAGAACTATGCTATCTCGAGCGACACCTGTCGCATTATGCGTGCCTTCATTTAATTCTTCTTTATTTTCGAAGTTATGCATCACTTTTGCCAAACTATCATTTTGGGTCAAGTTAATGTTTGTTGAAGGTTGCTTATTTAGTGTACTCTCTGATAACTCATTTATAGGGATTTTCGAAGCAAAAGACGCGTCTCTTGACTGTTCCTTAAACCTAATGTCTGAATTCAAATTCGATATGGAGGTATTAAGCTTGTTTTCAGCTACACCTAAAGCTTTTGAAGAGGGAGATTCAATTTCTTGTGTATTCAAGTCTTCCATTATCTTTACAAAAATGTTTCGTGACTTAAATATACATCTAATTGGCCGATGACACCATATAACGATAATTTTTGATAAAATTTAAAAATTGTATCTACATAAAATACCATATATATAATAATAAAAAGTAAAGTGCATCTTTATTCTGCCGTAAATTCTTATTTTTGACATAAAGTCTCGCTTTTTCTATTATATTAACGCGGCACTATAAAGTAACTTTTAGTAAAAATGAGAGATTTGCCGTCAAAGGAGTCAAGCTTGTTCAAACAAATTCTAGCAAGTTTTCGTTTTTTTCATTTTTTTCCTCGGCAATAGATTTGTACAGAGCGTTGTTTTTTGAGTTATATATTGAATGGTTGTGTTTATCTTCCCTGCAGAAATATTACGAGTATAAGCAATTCAAAAAGGGGTTGAAAGTCGCAGACCAAATTTTGAAAAAGTTTCCTGAACATGGAGGTATATTTCAAATAAATGAATAAATTTTATATTACATCGCTTAACATGATATTTGTGCAATGTGTCTATTAATGTATAATATCGTAGCAAGATCAATAAATTCTTAATAAAATCAATATATTGATAAGCATTCATTAATTTATGTATTTTTTTTTGTTTTCACATAATTCAGAGACATTGGCCATGAAAGGTCTCTTTCTAAATCATATGGATAGAAAGGAAGAAGCGCATGAACTTGTACGCAAAGGTCTAAGTAATGACGTTAAGGGCAGTCATCAAGGCAGTTATAAAGGCAGTCATATATGTAAGATGATTTTCGAATCTATTTTTCGCGGGATTTTTATCCCGTTTAATCAATTATTCATAATATATCTAATGATGAGGATCTTCAGGTTGGCATGTTTACGGATTACTTCATCGATCTGACAAGAACTATGGCCAAGCATTAAAATGCTATACTCACGCTCTAAAAATTGACAAGGTAGAAGATCATTTCGATCATTCTGTATATATGTGCATACATTTGGTTTTGAAATTAGTTTGCTAATAATTATCGTTATTCTCTTTTGAATCGTTAATTTGTACACAGCATAATATGCAAATCCTATTAGATTACTCTCTTTTGCTCATCCAGATGCGAAATTATGATGCATTCAATGTAAAAAGAATCATTGCCTCTTTTTCAACCATTTTATTGTTTACAATTTGAATCTTATCAAACAACGATAAATTTCTTGAAATTTCTAAGGATTCCCAACTTCAATTATTGAGCTTAAAACCAAACAATCAAAAATATTGGATCGGTCTTGCGATCTCCTATCATCTGCAAAAAAATCATGAGACAGCGGAAAATGTTCTAACCACTTATGAAGGCACATTGAAGGTATCATTTCATTATACATTTGCAAGTGTGCGTTTTATTTCACGAGCATATATTCAGTGTATAATCACGTGACGTGAATTTTTAAAAAGGAGAAACCTACGCCGTTGGATTTTGAGCATGGAGAAATGCTAATGTATCGCAATTTAATAATCGAAGAAAGTGGAGATATCCAAAGGGCTTTAGAAAATTTGGAATCTATTAAGGATAAGGTTTGTGATAAGCGATCATGGAAAGAGAAAAAGGGTCTGTATATACATATATATATATATATATATATCCATTTATGAGTGAGATTTCTGAAAAAATTTTCATTTTAGGAATTTAATCTCTAATTTTAATATACTATGATTTATATAGCTCAGTTTCTGTTGAATCTTGAAAAATACCAAGAAGCTGAGCAAGCTTATCGAGAACTAATCGATCTCAATCCCGATTGTTACGAGTATTTTGAGGGTCTACATAAATCTCAAAAAATTAATACGCGTATGTTTAAACACTTTTATAAGAAAAATAGTTATCAATTAATTTTAAAATATTTTATTAATTCAAATTTCGACTAGGGGAATTAAATGAGGAGCAACAGGTGGAATTTCTAAAAACATATAAAGAGTTAGCGACGAAATATTCACGGTCGAATGCTATCAAAAGGTTTCCCTTACAATATACGGCTGGTTGGTTAATAATTAAAAAAAAAAGAAAGCCTTCGTAAACAAATAGCAATCAGATCATCTTATTATTTACCAGATAATTCATAATTATTATTCGTAGGTGAAAATTTCAAAAAAGCAGTCGATGAATATCTGCAATCGGCACTTCGTAAAGGTGTTCCTTCCTTATTCGTCAACGTCAAAAAACTCTACGATGATCCCGAGAAAGCGACCATAATTGAGTCTCTTGTGGAAGGATACCTTGAGTCATTGAAGAAGTATGAAACTTTTACTTACAATGGAACCGAAGTCGATTTAAAAGAACCACCGACAGCGTATTTGTGGACACTTTATTTCCTTGCACAGCATTATGATTATAAACGGGACACGATAAAAGCGCTGCAATTAATTAACGAAGCGATCGAGCATACTCCAACTATGGTTGAATTGTATATGACAAAGGGTCGTATTCTTAAGGTCCGAATTTTGACAGCTCTGTTCGATGATGGCATCTAGCTCGCGAATTAGCTAAATTGATAAATATTGGCTATACGATAGCATGGAGGTGACGTTTGCGAAGCCATGAAAGCAATGAATGAAGGACGCGAACTAGATCTCCAAGATCGTTTCATCAATTCAAAATGTACCAAGTATATGCTCAGAAACGGTCAAATAACCGAAGCTGAAAAAACCATAGGACTATTTACGAGGGTGCGTAATCATTTTTTTCAATGTACCGTGTCTTTTTTGGGATTGTCATTTTAGTGTTATATTTAAATTGTTCATACATTTAGGGTGATGCGCCAGACCCAATTACGGATCTCATCGATATGCAATGTATGTGGTTTGAACTTGAGGAAGGTGAATGTTACTTGAGGCAAAATAAGTTTGGTAGATCTCTTAAACGATTCCACCAAATTGAAAAGGTATATAAAAAATGTGCAGGTTTGTGTTAAATAATATTTTCAACAATAACTTGACAATAGATTCAACAAATTGCCGTTCCCACTTAAAACGATGATGAAATTTAGCATTTTGCCGATATTACGGATGATCAATTTGATTTTCACTCTTATTGTTTGCGTAAAGTAACACTTCGGGCCTATTTGAGGTAACTTTTTATTACGACAATCCTGTTCGTTTTTTTTTTTTGCTTAATTGATTCCTTGCTTTTCGTTTACACATATGTATATTTTCACTACCGACACAAAACACTAGCATGTTGCGCTTAGAGGATCGACTGCGGTCCCACCCTTATTACTTCCGTGCCGCACAGAATGCTATCAAAGTATTTGTTTTATTGATCCTAAGAAAAGGAGAGAAATACAATGAATTTAATAAATTTTCAATATTAATTTTATTCCGATAATTATTAGATATATTTGACACTATATGACAATCCCTCAGTAACTGCTGTGAGCGAGGATGACTCAAACTTTGGTAATTCACTAGTAAGAAAAGTTTTTGCATTAAAATCATTCTAATTTTTCTTATTCATGAATCAGCAAATATGACCGAAGGCGAAATAAAAAAGGCTAAAAGTAAAGCAAAAAAAGCTGCTGCTAAAGCACAGCAAGAGGCTGAATCTAAAAAAGGTATCATGTAATTAAATTTCTATTCCGTATCTATGCAAACTAATTAACCATTTTATAATTATATGTGCTTAGCCCAACAAGAAGAGCAAGCAAAAAAGAAAGTTTCCGAAAAACCACGAGACGAAGATCCAGAAGGTGACAAATTTGTCAAGGTTCGAGCTTTTCATAATTTCAATCTCAACCTCGATATTTATCCTCCTTCAATATCATTCGTGATCAAACATTAGTTCAGGACTATCTTTTAGACATGTCTTTTAAATTTCATTAGACAAAATAATTTAGACAGACATTTTAGACAATTAAATAGATAATAATGCCTTTTATTCAATGAGTTTTAGACTGAATTGGTAAATTTCACAATTTTGTAAATAGACTACTGATCCTTTAGGAGAAGCGTTCAAATTTTATCAGCCACTTCAAGAATTATCTCCAAAAAGAATCGAAACGCATTTACTTGGATTCGAAATTTATTTACGGAAGAGTATGTGAACATTTCTCTAATTTGACCTTTTCATGCAGCTTGTAATATCAAAAAAATTTTGCTCGCTTTCTTTACACAGAAAGATACTTGCTCGCGCTTAGGTCTCTTATCCAAGCACATAGCATTAATTCGAACAATTCGACTCTCCATCAAGACATAATACGTTTCGAGAAAGCTGGTATTTAAAGAATCCATTATATTATTATATTTTGATTTTTTCCATCGTATTTGTTAAAGGTTAATGTTTTGTTTTATAGTCGCCAGTGATACCTCAATTAACCCGATTGTCGCAAAAGTCGTCGCGGAACAATTGTCAATCATTCATTCTCAAAACATTCCTCTGCCAGATTTCAACAATGAATTTCTTGGCCGAAATAAAGGTTCTATTCCGCATTTACTAGTTGCAGCAGAATCCTTATTACTCATCGACCCGAGTTATAAACAAGAAGCCGAAGATTTGTTGTTGAAAATAATTGATAACGAGGAATATGCTGGAACTAGAACACTACCGGTATTTTTATTTCTATATAAGACTGGCTAACGTGTTATTATTCAGTTATCATTCTGATGAATTTCTTTTTGATTTTTCTTTTGAAGATTTGCATCAATGTCTATGAAAGTATCAAGAAAACATTCAACTCTAGAGCCGAACAATTTAGACTCAAATGTAAAGACTGGTTTCCCATCGCAACATATTTCCGGGAAACCAATTAAAATACATAATTATTGTTATGGTTACTCTTTTTTTTATCTTTTATTTAAATTCCCCTGATGACGAAGTGATCAATTAAAAAATATTTTTTATTTTGACTAACGAAAAAGTGTATTTGTGTTATTGGGATTTGCATCTACTCACGTGAAGATTTCGACACGTAAAATTTACCGAGACTATTTATCGTTATTGAAAATGTAATTAATAGACAGTCTATCACGCGCAACATCTTTTTTTATCAAATTAAATGTCAATTTATGCCAAAAAAGCCTTTTTTAGCGGAAGTTATGTAAAGCAAGCGATTGTTTTTAGCAATGCTTTGTTTGGTCTAAGAAATAGTAGTGTTGCTTTGAAACATACAATCGGATCAAGAAGTATTAGTGAGTTATCGGGTGCAAAGGTTGAGACACCTGAAGTCAAAGCTGTTGTTTATGGAAAATATGGACAGCCTAAAGAGGTCCTGAGGTTTGTACTATATAAAGGGATGATTTACCTTGGATAAAATATTGGTATCCTTACTTATTTCTTTATCTTGTGCATTCCATATCATTAGAGCTCTTAAATATCGTCTTCCACCACTTACACCAACATCAATTCATCTTCATTTTCTTGCTATACCGATAAATCCTTCGGATATTAATCAGATCGAAGGGGTTTACCCGTTGCGACCACCTTTCACTCGAGAAGAATTTGGAACCGATGATGCAGTGGCAGTCGCCGGAAATGAAGGTGTTGCTGAAGTTATTGGTGTTGGTGATCAAGTGAAAGGATTTAATGTAGGTGATTGGGCTGTGATGGCGAACGCAGGGTTCGGTACGTTATAAATCAAAATAAAAAAATTATGCGGATCACATGACTAATAATAATCGAACAATTAATTAGGAACATGGCGAACTCATGCTGTTGCTAGACCTGATCAAATTGTTCGAATAGAACCGGGGTCTATAGATTTAGCATCAGCAGCTACGTTAACTGTTAACAACGCAACTGCTTATCGAATGTTGAAGGATTATGTAAAGCTTCAAAAAGGTGATTATGTAATACAAAATGGAGGTAACAGTGGCGTTAGTCAGGCTGTAATACAAATTGCGAAAGCTTGGGGCATTAACACTATCAATACTATACGAAAACGGTAATTTTAATTTGAAAATATTATCTTTTAAATTTTTCTATTAGAATACAAAGATGAATAGATATTAACTCTCAGCAATTTGGTAGACCAGATTTTGAACAAATAAAGTCGCGATTACAATCACTTGGTGTCGGTGAATCAGGCGCAACAACCATTGTAGTCAGTGATGAAGATTTAGAGAACAAATATCGTTCAAAATCACAGTTCTTAGAGTTTATCGGTGATGAAAAGGCAAATATTCCGCTAGGATTTAATTGTGTTAGTGGAGATTCTGCAATTATGATTGCTAAACATTTAAGGTATTATCATAATATTATATATTTATACTATTATTTTATTGCTGATCAATCGTGTAAACAATTTTCAGTCGCTCTGGCTATCTTGTGACCTATGGTGCAATGTCACGTAAGCCGATGCGTATTCCCGCATCGATGCTAATCTTTGATAATCTACATTTTGTCGGATACTGGATGGCGAATTGGAAAGAAACACATTCTATTGAGGAATATCGTGAAATGTTGGATGACATCATTGCGTTAATTCAAACGAAAAAACTCGGAAGCTTTGTTTATGAGGAAAATAAATGGGGCGAGGAAACAGATGAGAAAGAGTTGTTGGCAAAATTTTATGAAATTTTTGATAAAGCATATCCTGACTCGCATGGTGTCAAACAGATTCTTAGGATACACTGATTGTATTGTTTGGCGATGGTTTATAAAGGTAATAATATTGGACATTTATTCAATTATATAGTGTCGATTCAAAATATGCTATTGAGGTGTAATTTTGTAATTGAAAAAATATCTTCGATATAGACGAATTAGTAGGTTGAAAGCATTTTTTATAAGCATGGCTAACAAAATCTGGCTACACGTTTAATAATAAATTAGTGAATCTATACGACAGCAGCTTTTGAATCCAATGGCTTTAATACTTCGACGAAAAATGTTTAAGGAAAAATCGAAATGCCTTTTCTCCATCAAAAAAAATTCACGATTGAATATTTCGAGAAATTTAGAACAAAAAAAATCAGACTACATACAGGAAAATGTTTGAATTAAGCAGAAACAGAGGAAGAATCTAATTTAAGCTGGATTTTTCAGTGTTTCAAGCTAATGATTAGAAGGTCATCAAGCAGAAAATAATCACATTCTATTATGTGTTTTCGCTTTCCTAATTGTATAATTTCTACATTGAACTTAGGTTAAGGTTAGAACACAAATGATTGTTTCATATGTAAAATTTCAAGATACAAGCTATTTTTCAAAAATAAACATTGTTTTCAATTTTTTGCATTACACATTGATCTTGCGATGTTTGGTGCATGATTTTAAGGTGATATTGGATGGTCGGCATCGGGATCGGAATCACATGACCCGACACTTTTTCGCCATGGCTAGGATACTAACATTCTCTGTGATCGTCGTTTCTTATTTTGTGAAAAGCTTAAAAAAATAGTTGATTCTAATAGAATACATGCTAAGGAAACTTTTGTATTATAAACCTTTTTTTGATTTTATATGTTCAAAAAAAAAGTTAAAGCATATTTTTGGATTATAACAATATATCTCCGTTATTTGTCTATTATTTTTGCGTTCATCGGATTGCATGTGAGTGAAAATCAGGTGATCAACGATTAGTGATGCAAGTGGTGGGTGATAAATTTGATCAACAAATCAGATTTAAGCCCGCTATGTGTTACATTACGTATAAATATACAGTGAGCACTTTATTTCTTCACTTTGACATATAAAACAATGTATTTGCCTTCCTTTAAAAAAACTCTTAGTACAGAATCTATATCGATAACTTCTGCAGTGGGTAATTCAATAGATAAC